AACTTTTCTTAGAAATAAAAAATTCTATTTTAATTCTGTTTTAATTTCTCTACTATTTCACATAATTATTAGAGTATAGGATAACTCCCAAGTGTTCCCCATGTAGGGATTATTTGGTTAGTTGCCATTATATGTGGTTATCCAAAAACTACTTACATGCCTTCGTGGTCAGGAGCTCATACCTCAAAATATAGCCTATTCCACTTCCAGGAAGATACATGGCTCTGGCTCTCTTTCAGTGTGTGTAAAGTTGTTTCCTCATTAATTCCACCCAGTTGACCTGGAAAAACACTAGAGAAAGAGTTCACTTCTTCCCCTGATATTCTCCATGATACTCTACTGATTGGCCCACCTGATGATTTCAGAGATCCCTTCCTCATCTCTTCCTGGGTGAAGTGTCACAGGTGCCACTAACATCATCTGAGTCTCTCTGGACGCCCCTCTTAAAATGGAATCTTCAGAACTAAACAAAGTGGCATCTGACCAGCACACAGAGTGTCATAATTTGTCTTCCTATAATCTGGCCACTTCCCTTTCTCCAGGGCCATAGGCTGGTAACAAATGATTACAACACCTTGTGTTCAGCTCTGCCACAGTAGTTCACATTTCTGTTACTTATTCATGCATTCTGGTTTTTGCTCATTTGATTATACTTGAGGGAAGCTTGCACCACAGGGTTTGGCACAAAGCAATTGGCCATGTGAAAATATGTTCAAGCATGTAAAGAATGATTTTTTTTTTAAGTTTACTTGAGCCAAACTGATGACATATGCCAGGGAGGAAGATCTCAAATGCTCTGGAGAAAAAGTTCTGCACCTTATTTTATGCGTTTGAGATTAAGAGAAGGGGCATAGGAAAGATTGGAGAAAGCAAGATAGGGATTGGGTTATAGAATAGTTACCAATATTATGTGCTCTCTTGAGGATTAATACCCCCTTTGAAGGATATTTCAAAAGTGTGTTAACTTAGATGCACAAGAACAATGGACAAGGTTTGATCAAGGCAAATATAAATCCTTTACTAAAAAGTTATATGCCCAGGACATGTCTACCAGCCATGACTTGCCTAGTTAGAAATTTATGATCAAATCACCCTGTAAGATTATTTTCCATAGAATCCTGTTTTGTTTTGTTTTATCCACACAATCACACCATAAATGTTTTCCAAAAGAAATTTCTAAAATTGAGAAATCCGCTCTGTTTACATCAGAAGATCTGTCTGCCTTCACTCATTAAAAATCAGCACGTAAAAGTCAGAATATTCCATATGAATATTTAAATTATTAATGCTGGTATTTGGATTGGGACCACTCAGAACATTTGCCTGATTGGGGAATCTTGGTGTTTTCTATTAAGGATGTTTAACAGTAATGCATTAGTAATCCTCAAACTTATTTTTTTAAATTCAATGTCAACTTTTAAATTCCCTTTATTTTTGATTCAATTAAAATCTTTTTTATCTGCCTAGCCAGATGGCTGAGTTGGTTGCAGCTTAGTCCCATGCACCGAAAGGTTGCAGGTTCAATTCTCCTTCAGGGCACATACCTGGGTTGCAGGTTCCATCCCTGGTTGGGTAGCATACAGAAGGCAACCAATTAATGTTTCTTTCTAATTTTTCTCTCTCTCTTTCTCTCTTCTTTTCTCTCTCTCTCTTTCTCTTCCTCTCTTTCTAAAATAAAAACAAAAATGTGTCCTCCAGTGAGTTTAAAAAAATATTTTTTCCATTTTATATCTCTTTCATTATCTTGCCCTGCCTTCATCCAATTTCTCCATATTTACTACACTGCCAAAGTTCTTGCTCATTTGCCATTATTTTGTCCTACAGGAACAGATGCTGGGTGTGGTTCTTTGCTTAAATATCCATCTTAGAAAGAAAATACAGCCCACTTGGATTTTGTTCCGCAAGCAAGCTGGAGATATTCTCTCTGCCTCTGCCAATATGTAGAGAAGAATAAAATCTTGTGTACTGTATAAATGCTATTTTCTAAAACCAACAAGAATAGCTACAGGGGAAGAATGAAAAGAGAAATGGAATCATCTGATGGGTGCTCGGCTAAGTACCAAAATATGCATTTGCACAGTGCTGCTGATGTTCCAGGCACTCTAGGTTCTTTTCCTTTACTCATTTAACTTTCACAATAACTCAGTGAGTGTCCCAATTTCTCCTTCAGGGACGTAAGCACAGGTGACCAAGGGTGCCTCAGCCAGTCTCTAAACAGACACTGACACGTACGACCCAAAGTACTTACTTAATATTGGCCGAGCATAAGTTACATAGGAGACAGACATGCAATGCACGAATCACTCACGGTTTATTTACAGAGTCCTGGTGGTTTCCAGACCTCTGCAGGCCACCCGGGGATCCGCGCCGACATACACACACACTGGACGTTGGACCTTGCAGCTGCGGCTCGGCGTCTTGTTTGAGGCCTCAGTTTCCGGGTCACTGTTTGGACTCACAGTCCACGGCAGAGCTTGGGCAGATTGCAAGAAGCGGGGTGGAGAGTGACCGTCTGTGGAGGAGCAGAGCAGGCCTCTCTGATCTTCCTCTGGTGCTTCCTCTTTTTATGTGCCTAGATGGGCGTCTTCAGTGTGTCTTATCAGCGGGTCCCAGGAGCCTTGCATATCTGGTTTTACATATGGGGAACAGATCACTTTATCTATTTTCTACATACATGCCACTCAGGGGTGTTTATCAACCTGTTTACATTACATTCAATACTTTTTAATATCACACTTGCATATCACACTGGAATTCCACACTTTGATACTTATTCTATACTAGAGGCCCAGTGCATGATTTAATCATGCACCTGGTGCACCAGCGGGCTGTCCGCCGGTGCCCCAGGCCTTCCGAAAGCCTCCAGCGCTGCGGAGGCTTTCGAAAGGCCTTGCGCCGGAGCAGACAGGCGGCCAGGTCCCCCGCTTTGGCCTTTGATCGCGGGGGACCTGTCCGGCTGTCCGCCGGTGCCCCAGGCCTTCCGAAAGCCTCCGGCGCTGCGGAGGCTTTCGAAAGGCCTTGCGCCGGAGCAGACAGGCGGCCAGGTCCCCCGCTTTGGCCTTTGATCGCGGGGTCCTGGCCGGCTGGCTGTCCGCCGGCGCCCCAGGCCTTCCGAAAGCCTCCGGCGCTGCGGAGGCTTTCGAAAGGCCTTGCGCTGGAGCAGACAGGCGGCCAGGTCCCCCGCTTTGGCCTTTGATCGCGGGGGACCTGTCCGGCTGGCTGTCCGCCGGCGCCCCAGGCCTTCCGAAAGCCTCCGGCGCTGCGGAGGCTTTCGAAAGGCCTTGCGCCGGAGCAGACAGGCGGCCAGGTCCCCCGCTTTGGCCTTTGATCGCGGGGGACCTGTCCGGCTGGCTGTCCGCAGGCGCCCCAGGCCTTCCGAAAGCCTCCGGCAGCCATGGTACAGACGCTGAGCTCGCGGCGCCAGAGGCGCCGCGAGCTCAGCGTCCTTCTGGCCCAATCAGCTACCCCGGCCACCCTGAGTCCCGCCCCCTGCGCCTCCTGCTGGCCCAATCGTGGGCGTAGCGGAGTGATGGTAATTTACATATTACCATTTTATTATGTAGGATTATTCTTATCACTATTACTATAACAGTGAGGAAAGCCTGAATGCTATCCCCATTTTACAGATGATGAAACTAAAGATTAAAGAGGTTAAATAACTTACCCAATGTTACACAGATAGTAAGGTGTAGAGGTGGGAAACAAAATCCTAGCAGCTCTGGCACCAGAGGCTATACTTCTTACTAAGGTGATTTCAATTGTCTACCTAGATTCCACCTAGTGTTCTCAAAAGCCATCCAGTCCTCTTACCATATACAACTGCACTCTGGCTAGATCTATCAACCCAGAAATACTACTTAATATAAAGGAAACCAAGCCACCCTTAAGTCTACTAAGAGAAGCCGTGGTTAGGTTAATAAGGGCACTGGACTATAGTTAGGAGTCATGATTTCTAATCTCTGTCCCCATGTATTTGAACATTTTCTCCAAAGTCTTAGATTAGAAGCTAGCCAAAGTCTCTTTCATTTCTAGAATGCTATTCTTATAATAAGAATGTTAGAGCAAGAGAGGGTGTTAGCTATCATCTCTAGCACTGTGTTTCCCAAATTGTGGAACAAATGTGGTATTAAAAAAATCAGAGTCATTTAATGAGATGGTTATTCACTTTTTACTCTTGGTCAGCCGCCCTACTAATGTCATGAGGAAAATCTCCGTTTGGTGCTAGGATGTCCTCAACACCTCTTTAACACTTGCTAAGAGAGAGCAGACTCTAGTTGGAGAGCCTTTGGTAAGAAAACATATTCATTGTCATTTTTTTATATTGTTGATAGTATTATAGATGGCTCCTATCCTTTCCCCCCTTTTTTATCCCCCTCTGCCCAGCCCTTACCTCACTCCTCCCCCAGGCCTTCACAACCCTATTGTTCGTGTCCATGGGCTAGCATATAACTATATACTAGTAAGTTCTCTGATTTTGTAATGGTTTTATATTGACTCCTAGAATAGACCTCAACCAAACCTAAAACCTAAATTTAATAAGAACATGATCTATCTGGGAAAATAACCTTGGATTTAGCTGATCCAGAAGGAAGACATTTTCAATGATGGGAATCTGAAGATCAGGAAAGTGTGCCTTCCACCAAGGAGGCTTTCTGTGTCTCCTCTGCAAAGTTGAGATAGTAAACTGTATGCCTTACCAACATTAAAGACACCTTTATGCTTTGCTTGCACCATTCTGTTGAATGCTCCACTCACCATTTGTACCAACTGCAGCGTGTTCCTTGGCTTGATGGAAAGTAATACTTGTTCTCCATTTATGGGCACGGCATAAAGATTGTTTTTGAAATTAACCAGTTTGAATAAAATAAAAGATGTGTTCTTTGTTTTTACTAGATTTACAGATTAGTGGTAAAGATAGACTGTTGATTTTCATCCAGGGTCTTCTGTTCTGTAGAAAATATAACACCTAACGTGACTGAATGGAAATATAAGCAATCTCATGGTTCCACTGGGAATAGAACCTGGAATCTTCGGCATGTAAAGCAGACATGACAACCACTATACCATGAAACCGTACGGTGACTGCCTGATTGCTATGTGGGACATCAGCAGTTTTATATCTAACCTAGACATCCTAGTCCTTCTTTGTCAAACACCTGTAATAACTCCTGATGCCCCATTTCTCTTTGGAATTAGTTTTCTGTGGCCCTGATTCTCCTAATAATGGATTTGAAATTATTGAGACATGTTCATGCTATATTTGTAGTGAGCAATATTTAAATTGCACAAAAAAAAACAAGATAACTAAAGTCTTTAGATAACACTAAACAAGTAAGATTCAGCAGTTATTTTTTGATCATGTCCAGAGCACACACAATAAACATAATTTAAAACTGCTAAATGTTTTGAAGGAAGAAGTGGGTGTGGAGTGAAGCTTAGTTTTTATTTCAGAGTCAGTGATGTAAAAGAAACGAAGGTGACAATGTCTAACTGATTATAATATGGCTCATAGACATAGTACAATTGTGAAGTGAAAGTAATTGGCTGAACTTCGAAAGTATATGAAAAGCTCACTTTATAGATAGATTCCTAGAAAGTCGAGAAGGACAAACCACTTATCCTAAGCCCACATTCCTGGTCCTCATAACCTAAACTACCCACCACAGAACTGCAACATTGCCCTTCTCTGAGACAAGACTCAAGGTTCCCCAGCCCAGGGGCAACTCTGCCTAATCTTTGGTTATACATGAGCATATGTGTGGTGGGAGAAGGAGACAGGTAGACTGGAAAAAGGGCCAAAGTTGCCCATTGAAGAGATAAAAGACACCCTAAAATGACTTACTATAGTGCCCCTTCCTTTCCCTTAGAGGTACAGATCTAGTGAACACTTTGCCAACTCTCAGAAAGCAATATTTCATTGGAGCTCATTTTAATGACAAAGGGATAAGGTCAACAGTGATACTTAAACTTTCCTTTGCCTTCTTCTATTAATCAAATTCTACCAAGAACATCTTTCTAATAACTAAATAGGGTTTGACTTTAGAAATTCTGGGTGAAGAGGAAGCCCCGGTAATTGGGAAAAGCTACCATAACTCACGATTTTTTATGCCCAATTTTCACTCTGAGCATCTCATGCAAATGTTTAACTGCACAGACCCATGGACTAAAACATACACCCCTCAAACTTTAAGGAGGATGTTGACTTTTGTCTTTAACACCTTTCTACCTTCACTGTCAGGCCTTCCCACCATTATCTTGACACCCTTTCCCTCTTGGAAATCAGTGGCTTCACAAGAAAAACACATCCCAGTTACTTATCACATTTGCTTAAACACCTCTCCCTGAAGTGTAAATATTTCAGTGGCTCCTCCTTTCACAGAGATATTTGCACCCCTTGGCTTTATAGCAGTCCTCTCAAACAGTGGAATTTCAGCTATCAGGAAAAGCCAGATAAGGTGGATATTTTGGGAAGGAGGATTTCCCCAAAGTCTAGTTCTCAAATCAGATCACTGTGGGACAATTATGACAGTGATTTATTGAAGTTAAAAGGCCATTTCTTTGTTCTAGCCACATAGAATGTCTATGTTTGCTTAGCTTACTGATTTCTTGGTATATCTGAAATACACTGACAGAACTCCATAGAAGAATGCTTGCCTTTTTTTTTCTTCTCCTTCTTTTTATTCTAAATTGCTTAGACTAAGTTTCTTCCCCCTGGGAAGAAAATTTTGAAACATTTCACAGTTGCTTTGAAAACAGCTGAAAAAATGCAAGATATTAATAGGAAAAGTGAAAATACACAACAGGGCAAGATAAGACCAAAGATATTAAACCATAACCTAAAGATAGTCAAAGTAAAATATACATAGATGTTGATTTAATTAAAAATCTAGCTTATGTTTTAAAAGAATGGTTAAGCAAAACAGTGAACCTGACACTTGGAAAAATCTTAAATCATTCACACACAGGCACACACATACGTGCCCACACAATGCTTTACTGAATCCTAAAGCTAGGTGGCTTGAGTGGGAAAACAAAATAAGGTCTTTGGTGCAGCAAGCTGGTCAGTTGAATAGAACATTTTATGACAATCCCTGCCTACCCGCCTTGTACGTATCACACGTCATTTATTCATAGCAATGTCAATTATTCATCCTGTTCTAAACTGTATATGAAGATTATCTACTTTATCACCACGAGAGTGTGCAGATAACTCAGTGGAGCTTCCCGCTGGCTGACTGCACCCATTTGTTTTCTATTCATTTCCTGGGACAGGAGAATTAGAAAGCTGTGTGTAGGAAATGCAGCATTTGTCCTGCACAAACTTCTTTATCTTTATTTGCCCTATTGTTGGCTACATTTTTTTTTTTAGTCTACTGGCAGCCAAGGGTCACATTTCCATGAAGATAAATTTCATATTGGACCCATGGGAGCTGAGGTCAGTGCAAATCTGTGCCAGGAGATCCAAAATGATGGCAAAGAGGAAGTCTCTGTATTTTATTTCTGCACTATATTGTCCTGTTTTCCTAATAATGGAGCCAGGGAAGACTTGGACACAGGGTCTATTTTTCTGCCTTGCTCATCTCCCAACAATGGCTAAATACACTGGGCCCTCCCTGCTGGCCAGACTTCAGTCTGATCGTCTGTGAGATGTCCCGAGATCCCCAAGCACTGTGATCCTGCATCCTCACCTACAGCCCAGCTTTGCTCCTGCCCTGGGTTGCATCCAGAGTTTGCTGCCCATGAAGGTCAGACTCGCTGTGTCGACACCAGTGCTTCCTGTCCATTATCGGCCTGCTTGACATTGGATGTGTGTCTATTTTCTGTGTCCACTGGAAGTCAAATGTCATAGCTCAAAGATAACATTTTTCCCTGTTTTCCTCCCGTTTCAAAATGAATTCAGGTTTTCTGTATGGGTAAGCCCCGTTCAGAGTCTGGGGGGAATTCCAAAGTCAAGAGTGTTCTGTTTATGAAGTAATCCTAGTAACGTGTGGAATTTTCATCATCAGTTGTGTGTGTGTGTTTTTTTTTCTTGCAAAGGCTAAATGTTTAAGAAAAATGCAGGAAACTGGCAATTAGAATCAATTCCCTTCATAACAACAGCAGGATATCAGCTTAAAATATGTCCTTTAACTGTGTAATGATTGCAGTAATAGATATCTATAGATTGCTGTGAAATACACAGCTCGAGGTAGGGTGCTCACATGGTAAGAATCCATAGTTCAAGGGCTGGTTCACACATTGGTGTTTGGAATTCAGAACATGAGTTTTGATTAAATCCATGGAAAAGACAAGGATCCCAGGTTGGGTTCCAAACCCTTAACATTCAAAATGCATTGTATCTGTAGCAGTTACAAAATAAGCAGTAAAACATAGTACGGAGAAAAGTAAAATAGATTATTTAGCCACAGGCCATCTGTAAACAAATGTTCATTATGTCAAAGATTGACTTTTTAATACCTATTTTTACTCCCACCTCTCCCTTTGTAGTTATTCAATAAATTCAGCAAAGGTATAGTGAGCAACTATTATGCGCGAGGCACTATTACTGTAAGTGCAGTGAACAAAACTGACAAAAATCCCTGCTCTTCTCCATCTGACATTCTGATAGGGGTGGGGGAGGGGGGATTCAAGAACAATTTATAAGTGCTAAGAAGATAAATCAAACAGAGAGAAGTTAAGAAATATCAAGAAAGACACGGTGGCAATTTGAGATTTTAGCCCTGAGAAAGTGTGGTTTGGATCAGTTTCTGAAGTAATTGAAGAAAGAAGCTATTTAGCTTTCAATAGCAGCCTAGTCTCAGGTAGAGGCCACAGCAAGTACAAAGGCCCTGAGGCATACCAGACTTTTTAAAACTCAAGTGAGAAAAGGCTCCTTGGCTTCTATTTCCAAGGAGATGAAATCTGTGGGATTAGAGGACCTAAACTATAAAACACCCCAAGATATAGATTTTTTAATTAATGCTCTCTAGCTCTGGGGAACTGCTGAGTACCTATTGTTCTCTTAAAGACAATCAGTAGGGCAGAAGCCCCCGGGAAGGGGATAAGGTGAGATTTATGTTCATCTCTTTCTTGTCCTCTCTAATTTATGTGCAAAAAAATATCTAGGAATGGTTGTGATGTATAACCTTTTAGTTAATGTATATGCATGTATTTTTATACATGTACTTTATAGTGTCTTCTGTGGTACAAAAATTTGAAAAACTTTTATTTTGAAATGTAACATACATACAGAAAACAATGCTAGATAGCTCAGTAATTTATCACAAAGCAAATACTCACTTAACCACCCCAGGTCAAGAAACAGACTACCGCCAGCTCATCTGGCCTCCCTGAGCAAACGCCCTCCTCCCTGTAAAAGTAAAGCAGTCTTCTGACTTGAAAATAATTACTCCCTAGCCTTTGTTTTTTAAATAAAAAAATGGTAAACGGGCCCCCATGTACTCACAATCATTCACTTTTAACAATTATCAATGACAGGCCAATTGGGTTTCATCTAACCCTCATTCCTTCCTTTCATCACCCCTCCCCAGCTAAGTTATTTGATTAATTTATTTATTTTTATTGAGATATCATTTATATGAGGTGAAAAGCACAGATCTAAGGTATACAGTTCCATGAGCGTTGACAATTGTTTATATATGTATAAATTGATATAAACACTGAGCATTACAAGTTTGTTTTGCATCTGGGCAAGCTTTCTTTAATAACTGGGGACTCAGAAGCACATCGCATGATTTCAGTTTCCCACTGTGTATACATGGATATCCCGAAGCAGCTAGCTGGCCTCCGGATGAGGTCCCTGAAGTATGCTTAGATCGATCTTTGTAAACTCTTTCTAAATGCAGACTGTTATCAGCTACCCCAGTCCTCCCTCCTACCCCCTCCCTCTGTCTCCTTCTGTCGGCAAAATAGTTTGTTATGGATTGGTGATAAAAATCAGTGTCCACTGAAATACATGTCAAGACCACCGCCATGTGAGGCCTTCAAAGCATACCGAGCCACATTATGCCGCAGTGTGAAGGGACGTGCCTGTCAGGGGTTGCAGCCCATGTCCACCAATTCACTTCTCCAAT